GTGATTAGATCAGTGATGTCCGAACACAGGAAATATACCATACAATATACAAGCAATTCGCCCATTCTCAATAATTCAATTGCTGTCGCCGTTATTTTTCTCGCCAACGAATGGTGTTTTTGACTATAGAGTGCACATGCGTACTGAAAATGCACAGAAGTTTAATACCATTTATATTTTTGAATCAGCTATAGGAATGTTAAATTGTAACGTACGTTACTGTCGCCGTAAGAGTTTTCAATCTTTAGAGTGCTTGTGTGACAATAGCATTGGTACCTTTTTGGGATCATCATTAACGCTTATTATAGTCGATTTCTTTTTATCAATCCAAACTGTATACTTAACCCAAATCTCAATTTAAAAAGAAATCTTGCCAGGTCGCCAGAGTGAGTGGAACATACTTTAATCAATGGTATGTACTTCATAGACAGCTTTGTTACATTTGAAATACAATTTATTCACTTTTCACTCTCGACTTGGTAAGTCAAAACATCACGGCATATTTCCTTAAAAGGGATGGAGAAACTGTAATTTAGGATGTACTTTTAGGAGTGATAGCACCCCTGACAAAAACTAATTAAACTTTTTGATAGTCCTCGAAATTATTAACCAATCAACGACGATAACAATAGTAAAAATTATTTATAAAATTTCGCAAAAGAAAATAAAAGGTTTTGATAAATCATGTTATTATATTTTTATATTCACATTTAAAATAAACAAACACAATGAAAATTTAATCAATATAAGAAAAGCGTGTATAATTTTTATATTTATAGATTTTGTAAGATAAATCCTATTTCAAAGGATTATTTTGATATTTTTGTATTTATCTTGTGAACTGAATTATCTCCCTTGTCAATAACCTTAAAATGTGGTGGCTCAACTAACATAGGGAATGGTTGAAAAATCGAATAGACCAGGTTAATGCTGAAAACTTTAACCCAATTGCAAACTACATCTATGTTAGGTAGAAACTGTTAAATGATCGAACGGAGGTTTAACACAGGGAAACAAAGTTTTATTTTAGAGGAAAAAAGCAATGTTGGGGTGGAGCCGATGTTGAGATTTTTATCTTCCAGTTGTTGCATTCACACGCGCTATGACCGGGACGTTTATTGTCGTCACTTCTGGTTGTTATTTTCTGCTGTGTGGAAAAACCTTGCGGGCGATCACTCAATTAAGAATCTATTTTCAACTGTCAGATATATTTTCAATTATGATTGACAAATAACAATAATTGTTTTATAACGTTTTGGTCCTTAACCTCTCTCAGTGAAGTCAGACCGCATTGGCTCAGAGCCGACCCCTTCCCAACTGTGCTAATGTTGATCCGAAGAGATTTTGTTTTAATAAAAGTTTGATATGTCCAAAATAGAAATGGTATCACAAATATTTCTTCTAAATGAAATTTAAAGGTATACTTTCTTTAAGGATGACCAACCAAAAAAAATGAAATTTTTAAACTTGGATAAAATGAGTCTGTGTTCATCATTAGGCTTACCTGGTGACAAAACTATACAACAGAATCCCTCTATAATCTAATTAATCCATAAATCTAAGTAATAGTCCATTAAACGAAGTAATTTTGAAACATGCTTAGCAGCGTGTTTCAATAGTTATTTAATTTAATGGATGTATCGTGTTATATAGATATTCTATTCTATACCTGATGAATATCATACAAGTTAGAGTCTTTAAATTTTATGACCATTCTAAACGAAATGAAATGAATGGAATTTTATGTCCTACTTTTCTGCACTTTGTGGGCTAATGAAGACGGGCAATGCCATGCAGGGTGCCATTAGGGAAATTTTGCCAGAACAGCGGCATTAGCCTGCTCTTTTTCAATTTCCAACTGTTGAGGGATCTTTAACGCGCGCAACCTGTAGAACACAAGGCCTCGGTTTATTGTCCCGTCCGAACGACTAGGCGCTTTTTCCATGTCAGCCCCTCGTACCTGCATCACTATGTCGGGATTGAACCCTGGACCTTCAGGTTAGCGACCAAGCGTCTAACTCACTGAGCCACCGCGGCTCCTATGACCATTCTAAGCGGTAGTGTTCCTTTAACATATTTAAATGCAAAGCATAGTGACTAAAATACCATATTGTCAAGCTAAAATCTTTTTGTTTGAGAAAATGGTAAATTTTGATGAAGTTTCTTATGTTGTCAACAGTTATGTAATTTCTTTGTTTCTGTGGTGTTTTGTTTGTACAGAAATGGTGTCTGCATTCTGTAAAGAAAGTTTAATATTAAAATAAAATCGAAGCAATGGAGTAGACAGAAGCAAAACAAAGACTAAATGTTTATCAATAACCATGGAATTTTTTGTTTATCTTCTCTTTTAAAAAATGAATGGAATTTCGCAACACAATGTTGGTTTGATTTCAAAGGCTTTGTATTCATATCCTCTGAAATTGAGCTCCATTATAATTCATTCTGTGGGGTAAAGGCATTCTTACACTGAAACTTTGTGATTGGGTATGTCAATTTGATCATTCTTCTTTGCAGAGAAAAAAAATATTGCTTGCAAAATGGTTATTAGCAGTTGAAATAAAATTACAAAATTAGAATAAAAAAAAAGTACCAAAATAGTACCAAAGGCTAACACACAATAAAATGGTTTTTCAACTTAATCTAGGGCCCTACCAAGAGCAAGATTATGTCAGCTATGACTGTCTATGAGGGTCCTAGTACATGAAAATTACTAAAAGCCTTAACTGTAGAGGATATAATAGTAACGTTGTCTTTAATCTTCCGACAGCCTCCGACAACTCCGACAGATTATAAACAGGCATTGAATTGGGTATCATAATACAAGAGATCATTATGTAAAAAAAAAATCCCAATGAAGGGGCCACAACCCAAGGGTGCCGCTTAGCTAGTTGGGCCACTGCCAATTATAAGATACTCTTTGTATACAGTCATAATTAATTGATTCATTTAAATTACTACTTGTTGTAGCTATTATATGAGCATTATGCCTAATTACGTTAGACTAAATAAAATTGTCCAATGATCTCTCTGTATTAGACGGATCTCGACAGTTATAGCTTGGAATTGTGAAGAAGAAATCGGTTCAAATATGCCACAGTCTATGCTCCTAGATAACAACAAATATATTTATCTCATACGTCAGTTATATCGAATCATATTAAACTACACGAATCAAGTATCATAGTAACGGTATTATATGGCTGCTATCTAATGAGGTCAGATTTACCAGAGGGTTTGCATATGAAAAGAACATGGAAGATATCAGAAAGTACATTAAATTATACTATAAGGGGTTTTGCCATCCACGTCAAAATTTGAAAATGGGCTCTATTTTTTCCTTTTCACAAATCTTACTTTAGTCTCAGAAACGGCTTCTTGTTTTAGCTAGGCCAATCAGCCAATGAGATGCAAATCCCACCGTCGAAATTTAAACCTTTTAAATCTATGTGTATACAGAATTATCCGCGATTGAATGTTAAATTGACGACTGGTCAATTTAAGATACACCGCCTTATATAGAAAAGACTGACTCTGTTAGATGACATGTTATTATCCTTGCTGTGCATTGTCAGTGGGACTAAGGTTATGTAATTTGTATGTTTCTATGTACTTTTATTTATGTATTCAAAGAGTTTTTGCATTTCGAGAATTATGCGCTAATCCATAGACAATTCAATACTGAAATAAAATCGAAGCGATGGAATAGACAGAATGAAAACAAAGAAAATATGTTTTATAAGCTTTTGAAATTTCAGTGTTGTCTTCTCTTCAAACTTTTTTTGAGTGGTCTTTCTTACAAAACATTGCTTTGATTTCAAATGTTTGAATGCACAGTTATATTCAAACTGCCTCTTATAATGAATAAGAAATATCAATTTATAGGGCAGTGTGCAAAATCAAACACGTCGTTAATTATACCTGAAAATATTTCTAAAATATGCATTTCATATATCTATGTATCTTCTTGATCAAACTGAATTTGTTTTAAAAAGGTTTATTAAAAACGGAGAGTACTAAATGTTAATTGAGCATTTTGGTGTTTGGTTTTATAATGGCTCGATATTAGTTGAAACCTTCAGAATAAATAGAAGACATATTATTTTCTCTGCAATTAGGCGTTTATTTTGCTAAAATCAGTTCAGTAATTTTCTTACACTTACCTAAAAGCGTAACGAATTTAAAAAGCTTACATAATGTTTTTAAAATAGTTTTGATGTTAAAAAATAACGGATGAATTGTTTTAGTTAAAACTTTACGATACGTTTAGGGACAAAAAACATTTCGACCTTCGGAATTCCCTTTATTGCAACATCCTTTGAATTTGTTCCCACTACTGCTTACTCTTCAGGAACACTTGATATCACTTTGCGATTAGACATGTCGGTTTTTGGTCCGTTTAAAACAAGAACATTGTTATGTGTACACAATGGGCATCATTCAAGCTTTTAATATACGATTTATCTACCTTGTAAGAAGGGTCGGTGTCAGTGGGGAAACAGGCTTTGGACGGGCATTCTCCCATCTATCCAAATGGATGGCTTGCACCTCCATTTTGATTTCATGCGTTTGTGTCCCAAAATATGAGTCAGAATGCATCTAATCAATTACGTTTTTAAAAGAAATCCTAGGAGAAAGTCACCAAACGCTCGACGAGAGGCTTGCGACTATCACGCCTCCACAGAGTTTTCAGCCTCGAAAGATGCCCTCACTGTCAGTCTACCAAATATTTGTACCCCAAGTCTCCTACAAGTTATTTCTACGTTAGAAACTATTTAATTAGAAACTAACTATTTGCGAATGGTTTTCTTTAAATGGAGCATCAGAACATTCAGTGTCTAATGTTTAGCGTCACATAATCATCAGTTATGTCGAAGTAATCTCACGACAACTCGCATAATATGTGTTCCATTCCAGTTATCTTTCCAGAAATAATAGACACCTGATGAACTTCCATATTCAATAGTTCCAGTAAGAAAACTTCGAGAACATTCTGATGATTCATCAAACCACCAACCGCCACCATAATTTAAGGCACACTCATGAACACCAGTAAAATCAACGTCATAGGTAGAAAACGGCCTGCCGTTCAAGTTTGGTGTACCAGTAATCGATTCTCCACAATTAGCTGTATCTGCGTTGAGGCTTAATACGTAGTTAGTGGTTTTGTCTCCAATTTCAAAATTAGTATACCTATTTTCACAATTAACCCAATTAATATCTAGAAGTTGAACCTTCAAAGTGAAACTAGAATGAGGATTATTCAGAATAGCTAAGATATGATTGAATCCAATCCAACGGTTCAGATAAACCGCACCGAAGCCTGTCTCGTATTCTGCTAAGGTTCGATTGAATTCTTCAAAGTCACAGTATTCTGCTCGAATTAATATATAAGTAAAGCCACCCCAAGCAAGATAGCATAACACTTCAAACGGTTCTGGAGAAGACACAGGTTGTATGGTCGTCAACAGTTCCGAATAATACGTTATTCCTCTACTATAACCATCAGAACAGTCTGAAAATATAATATTTGAGCCCTGTTGTAATCTTTTAACCATTGCCGGTGGGGGAGTGAGGGACGTTAGGGTTCGGACATTTCTCGCCAGAAAAGACGCTGTCCTTGCTAATCCACCCGAATTCACTTTCAAATTTCTTATCATTTAACACAAGGAAAGGAGCCCTCCTCGTTGACAGTTCTCTCTCATATTCGCACAACATAGTCTCCAAATAAGGGCCAAAGAAATTAAAAAAAAATACAAATCTCGCCTGTGATAATATCTTGACAATTGTCACCATAGTAACCTAAAGGACATGTACAATTATTATCTTCATCACAACCAATAGTCTGAAATGACCAATTGAGAAAAAATACTTAAAAAGCATCATGCAGTAACAAGATATTTTCACTTTTGAATATACACACATATATATGGTGGATGCGTTTAATCTGGCTTTTATTGTGGAAAGATGGCAGTAATACTTCTTTTAGAAAAGTGACCATTGGCAGACACAAGAACTTATTTTTTTAATAACTAACATTTCTTTTTTTCTTTTTGAAAACATGATAGCTTTAAATTGGTATAAAGTGACAGGGTCTACAGTGTGTTTTGAATATCGGGAAACCGATTTGGAGGATATTATGCTTGTCAGATTTAAATTAGAATTGTAAATATTGTTTGATTCAACCAAGCAGAACTGTCACAAATGCCCCAAATCTGTGAAATATCGAAGAAAAACAGGTTAAACCTCGAATCTGCTGGCTTTATGTTGAAATTATACACTCAGAAAATATATAGCTTTGCTAATTCTGAGGATTTCAATGTCATAAATCATTTTTTGAATCAAGTATAACCACCAGGATGACCCGTGCAACTTGAACATAAGTCTAAACTAAAAATTGAATGAGAGGACGTTAGGCCCTAGCTCTATACACATGGTTTTCAAAGATATTCTGATAGAATGTTCAGACAATAAGTTTTGTAAATTATGTGTGAAAACCTTTTCTGTACTCTGACGACCTTTGTGAAAAACCTCACAGATACTCACAGATACTCACAGATTTTTCTTAAAATTCATTTGCACTTAATGCTGATGTTTACTTTACAATCATGAAAGCAATATTAAACGTGGTGATAATAGTTTTTAGTAGTATTTATCATTGCACTACATTTCAACAAAGAGCGGAAATGGCGTAAAATTTTAATAACGCATCTAAAAGCAAAATAACAATGTTATGTACATACAATAACCCTTAGTGCATCTTCACAATGTCAAGCAAATTACGTACTACGTCTTATACCGTGACTGCAATAACCACCTTTTTTGTATCACGGATTGAAACGATTTGATTTGATTGTATGCCAGCTAATATAACCAACCATAGCCCTCGACAGATTATAAACATTTTGGGTTATTGGTTACAGACTTTTTGTTGAGGACTCTGATTGGCTGTATTAGCCATCCAATCAAATCGCTTTATTTACAATCTTTCATGATGCAAGAAAGGCGGCTATTCCAGTCAAGAAGACGCAGTTCGTAGTAGCTTGACATTGTGAAGATGCCCATACTGGTACTCACTTTTTTGTAACAACTACAACCTGCGTTCAAGTTAGTTTTCATAATACAGTCCGTCCCGTCTTGATACAGTTTACAGGAATTGTCCGTGGAGCAAAATAACAGTCTCCTACATTCTGCCTCTCCATTACAAGCCATCACACAAAATAATAATCGAGGTTTAACTACAGTTCTAAGAACTTTGGTTTCATCGCAGTTATTAACCAAAATATTCGTCTTAGAGAAATTTCCAAACCTTAAACTTTGGATACATTTAAAAAGAAGATACATAATTTCAAGTCGAATCAACATCGTTGCCTACTAAGAATCTTAACTGGCGAACAACTTACTAAACGTTTAGGAACTTATAACTTTTTCTATCGATAATCATTATTGATAACAAAAAAATCCGCCGTTGCTAAGTTGTCCGTTCTTAAATCTGATCTAAGATCAATCAATTATTGATTTTTTTCAAAAAGGAATACCAAAACCGCATGAAACGTGAAGTGTATATTGTCGTCACCCATGTCCCTTGGTTTGTCGGTCCGTGCGTCCGTTCACAATTTCTCGTGAATAATCTAGAAGGCACAATTCCATGTGGATTTTGACCAAAATTGTATCACAATTCAGGATATCAGAAAGTAAATGCTCGCAAGCTGTGGTCCTTGCTATTGAAACTGCTTATTTTGTATGCTGTAGAATACTCATAGTTTAAAAAGTTGGACTAAATTCATCTCAATTCCTAGGGTATCCCAGCGCAATTTCAAAAACAAAGTACCATTGTATATTTATCAACGTTAAAGTCAATCAGTACAGTTGAGGGGAGGGGGGGTGGAGGTGTGTCAATTGCGTATGTTTTTGTTTGACTTGTTATAATTTTTCACATCATTGTTAGCGTTATTTATCACCTAAATATATATTTTTGCATTTTTCATCATAACTTTCATCTTACTTTATATATCCCCAAACCCAGTTTGACTTATTTGCATAATTTGATCCCAACATTTTCACGCTAGCATATACAGTTTCCTCCTGTTACATCCGCTGTACATTCCCTTCTAACCCCAAGTTCTTTTCATTATGCTCCCCAACTACAACAACCACTGGCAAGAAGTCAGACATAGAAACACTAATCATCAACCAAACCAATATCACGTACCCTACAACGGCCCTGTCTTCCATCGACCTCTACCACCTACCAATCGCCGACCACCAACCAACCCATCCAGCTATATCCCACCCCATCGCCGACAGCCTACCAATCCAGGGGTAACCATCGACCTGACCAACAACAGAAAAGACTACCAGCCCACCAACGGGAACCAGTCCCCACTCATAAGGAGGAAGAACCCTTTGTGAAGGTGTTCTTCCAAGTTTTGCAGTGCCTCCATCATTTGGCAATCCTTACCCTTCAACAGCAAGGCCAACCAGCGTTTACCTTCAAACGCAAAGTCTCTGAGTTGGATAGTTTTATCCGTCCAGCAATGAAAACATCAGCTGTCGACGCGAATATTAGATCCCTCCATCGGACATGGCTCTGTAAGGTTACGCAGGTCCTGAGCGACCATTACCAAACCACACTTCAAGAGAAGCTGACCACCATTCGTACCAAGTCTTTATCATCACCTGCCGTCGACCGCATCGTTTCTCATGCCCTGTCCTGGGCCCGTCGCTCCTATGGGAAACGTCACACTCAAGCTGTAATCTCCAAATTCTACCAAACAATCAACGAAACAAAAACCAGAGTAACCATATCTCTACCAACTGAAATGGACACTACACCTGCACCATCTAGAGCCACCACGCTGCCGAACCAAACACTTAAACGAGCCCGAAGTTCACCTACTCCTAGTCCAGCAGACATAGGTAAACGCTCTCGTAGAGAGGGCACACCCCTTCTCTTTTCACTTTCAGACTCGTCTTCCCCTTCCACACCATCTGAATCTTCACCACGTGATCCAGGATCCGCCAACCTTTCTTCCTTCTGTGGGATTTTGGACCAGCAAACCACCCCTCAGTCTCCATCCAAGTCGAGACGTGTATCCAGACTACCAAAGACCTCCTTTAACCAAGCCCAGAAATTAATCGCCACGGCCAACAAAACCTTCCCAAACTCCAAGATCCTCTTCACATGTATACCCATTTCAAATAAAATCTCGAAGAAAGCACAACAGAACCTAAGCACTCTCAACAACATGATGATGGAGTCCAGTATCAACAGCGCAACAATCTTACCGCCCTACGAAGAAGAATTCGAACCAGTTGATAATCTTCATTGGTCTCCAGAAACAGCAAACAGCATCTATTTGTTTTGGATACACCAGCTTCAAGCATCGAGTAAGTCTTTAAACTAATTACTGGGGATAAAAATACTGAGAGGCCACCGCTAGGCCAAACTGTAGTTAACTTGAGCCGCAAAATTCTCACACCCCTTCAGCATTCAATCTTAGACCGTGGACTTAAGTTTATTCCCACACCAAAGATAGCTAACTTGAATTATCTCCGACCATCCATTGAACGATTTCAACGAAATCTTAGCTGCACATATTTTTTTCGAAACCACCCCCCACGTGGTGCTAGAACAATGTTTATTCCTAAATCCACGTTGACACCCCCCCAGGCCGCCATCCATCCTGAAATATTGAAAGCATTTGCGAGTATGAATAGCCAAACAGTGAACCTTTCCATAACACACGAAAAGCCTAATCTCACACGAGTGGAACGTGAAGCGTTAAACTTACTTAAGAAAGACGATAGCATTGTTATTAAAAAGAGTGACAAAGGTTCATGTTGTGTCATTCTGAATAGGGAGGATTGCGTTTCAGAAGCAGAGAATCAACTGAATAATCCTAAACATTATGCCATTTTACCGAAACCAATTTTCAAAGAAACTGCTAACATGATTAATAATATTCTTGCCGATTTAGTCAAAACTAGTTATCTCAAACAGAAACAATATGACTATCTGTCTGCCAAACCTGATTGTCGCGAGAGACATTTGTACACTTTGCCTAAAATCCATAAGAATCCAACCAAGGAGTGGTTTATCTCGAATAAAATCCCTAAAGGCCGCCCGATTATATCTGACTGTGGTAGTGAGTCATATGCAGTGTCAGAATACATTGATCATTTCTTACTACCTCTAGCATGCCAACATCGCGCCTACCTTAAAGATACAACCGATTTTGTCAATAAAATAAAAAATCTTCGAGTTCCCTCTAATGCTATTTTAATTTCTATCGACGTTTCTTCTATGTATACCAATATCGATAACACTACTGGTTTAACGGCAGTTCGTTAGCTTTTAATAGAAACCCAGATCCAAACAGACCCGACGATGCAATTCTACAACTTTTAGAGATTTGTCTTAGTCGAAACGATTTCACATTTAATGGTAAAACATATTTACAAACTTCAGGGACAGCAATGGGCAAACGATTCGCCCCTTCGTACGCAAACCTTTTCATGGCAGAGTGGGAACGTGAGGTGTTGCCCCTCTGTCCATTCGACCCACTTTTTTACGGACGCTTTTTGGATGACATTTTTATAGTTTGGACTTATTCTATCGAGCAGTTTTGGGAATTCTTTGAAATTCTCAACAACCACCATCCTTCTATCAAACTAACCGCAAACGTGAGTGACAAAAGCATAGACTTTCTCGATACCACAGTCTTTAAGGGAGATTCCATAGCAGAAACAAATAAACTGGATATTAAAGTGTATTTCAAAGAAACTGATACTCATCAACTCTTGCACAAGAGCTCCTTTCACCCAAAACATACCTTTTCTGGTATAATTAAGTCACAAGTTTTACGATTTCATCGAATTTGTACAAGATCTTCTGATTTCAACCAAGCCTGTACGATTGTTTTCTCAAAACTGAAAGAGCGTGGGTACTCTAAACGATTTTTACGAAACATAAAAAATTCCACCTTAGCACAGATAGCAGCTAAAAACAGACTTTATGCCGAAGTACCTCCAGGTTTAAGAAGTGCTCCATGTTTGTCCAGTAGATGCAAAACATGTCCCTTTATATCAGAAACTCATTATTTTGTAAGCAACTCTACGAATAAAAGGTACCCGATCCAGGAACATCTAACATGGGAACATTCGAATGTAATATATTTAATTTCATGCAAGAAATGCCCCAAACAATATGTAGGAGAAACTAAGAATAATTTACGAACTCGCTTTAATGCTCATAGGTCAGACATCAAATTAAAGAAAGACAAGCCTATTTCTAATCATTTCAACCTCGACGACCATTCAATAGACGATCTCACCCTAATCCCAATTGAGCGTATAGAAATTGATTTGCCCGAAGATGAAACTACCAAATTCCGTCAATCTAGGGAGGCCCATTGGATTGAGACATTGAATACAGCAAGACCTATAGGACTAAATATTCATCATAATGTAGGCATAGCACCCTTTGTTGTCCCGTTTAATACAACCAGCAATCGAGCAAGCAAGATAGTTCATGCCCACTATAAGAGCCTTCAAGAGAAATTCCCCCATGTCTATAAGCAGAAAATGATAGTTGCATATGCAAAAAACAAGAACTTAAATGATAATATTGTTCATAGTAAACTAAAAACAATCAGTACATAACATATACTATACTTCTCGCCCATCGGGCGAGTTATTTTTTCTAATTTCAGGTCAGAATAAGAACAGAAGAAAACCCAATATCAAGACCCTTAATCCTAATTTCTAAATAAAGTGTCTGCTCCACCCTAGGCCTGTACATTTGGGAGAATCAAACCCTCCCTTCCCCGAAATTCAATTCAATTTAGAATTATGATTTTCATACGCTTTAACCCCAAAAATATGTGTCAGAATGCACCAAATCTATTCTCCATTTTGCAAAAACTTTCTTGGAAGACAACCTCTCAGGAGATTCATTGGAGTCTTGCTTCTATGTTCTTCCACAGAACTGTCACATATTGAATCTCAATCTCGACAGTTGACCGCCCCTTTTTTATAGCTTATTAATATCTTCGTTTTTATATAGGTTAAATATAATACCAACTGGACAGTAAGCTAATATTCCATTTCACATTAAATAATCCACAAAATATACGTTTCCATCTCATTGAATAAAGGTTTCAATTCGAAATATCTGAAATATCTGAATTTTATCTGAGATAGTATTCAGATTAAGATGCAGATCTGGATGTCCGTATCTTGTGTTTTTTTTTATTGATGCAGTATCCCCCAGACAAAACACGAAACAACATCATGAATTTCAGATTGGAATGAATATGGAATAAGAATTAGTCATATTGAATTCACAAAACTGAAAGAGTTGATATTATGCGTGGTGGGATCAACCAGTCCCCATGGTAGTTGAACCATAGCTCTTTATTTAGATGATAAAACAGCGACACAGTCATCATCCCGGTATACTTCTTCACAATGTCAAGCTATTACGACCCTCGGCTAATACTTTTGACTCCCATAACCGCCTTTTTCGTATCACGGAATGCAACGATATGATTGGACTGTCTGCCAGCGAATACAGCCAATCAGTGCACTCAACAGAAAGATTGTAAACATTATGACTTTGCTTTTACAGTCTCTATGTCTAGGTCTCCGATTATCATTGTAATTTGACATTATGAAGATGTCGGGTATAATATAGCCCCAAACGCTTCAACCTGTTTTGCGCCGCCATCTTGAATAATCGTGGACGATTTTGTGATTTGTCTCCTTCAAATTTACACTATGTCATACTATTGGGGTTTTATAGAATTAAGTACACAAACAACAAAAACAAAAGGTTTATGTGTTATTTTATGGAACTTATGATACATACAGCAAATAATAGAATGTAATTTGTAATTAGTTGAAATATTATAACCTTTTTATAAATTCCACGCGCAAACCATTATGTAGTTTCTTATGAACCCCATCTTACAACTTTTCTCAGTTATATCGAATCAACTTCAGGGCAATACGCTTAATATGTGCTCCATTCCAGTTATCTTTCCAGAAATAATAGACACCTGATGAACTTCCATATTCAATAGTTCCAGTAAGAAAACTTTGAGAACATTCTGTTGATTCATCAAACCACCAACCACCACCATAATTTAAGGCACACTCATGAACACCAGTAAAATCAACGTCATAGGTAGAAAACGGCCTGCCATTCAAGTTTGGTGTACCAGTAATCGATTCTCCACAATTAGCTGTATCTGCGGTGAGGCTTAACACGTAGTTAGTGGTTTTGTCTCCAATTTCAAAATTAGAATACCTATTTTCACAACTAACCCAATTAATATCTAGAAGTTGAACCTTCAAAGTGAAACTAGAATGAGGATTATTCAGAATAGCTAAGATATGATTGAATCCAATCCAACGGTTCAGATAAACCGCACCAAAGCCTGTCTCGTATTCTGCTAAGGTTCGATTGAATTCTTCAAAGTCACAGTATTCTGCTCGCATTAATATTGAAGTAAAACCTCCATAATCGAGATAGCACAAGACTTCAAACGGTTCTGGAGATGACACGGGTTGTATGGTCGTCAACAGTTCCTTTGGATATTCTATTCCTCTGCTATACCCATCAGAACAGTCTGGAAAAACAAACAAATATAAGGCGTCACCAGTGACATTGTACGAGAGGGAGACCAGGATATTCTGACCCGACGTTGCGATTTCCAACCATATTGAAATCTATTATCATTTTACATAGGGAAGCCCTTTTTGACACTTTCATGGTCCATACTCGGACCATTGATGCATAGAAAGACCACTGCTTTTTACAGATGACAATACTCAATTCCTCAAGGAAGAGGATTAAGGAATGAAGTATCAAATCTTGCCTGTGATGACATCTTGACAATTATCACCATAGTAACCTAAAGGACATGTACAATTATTATCTTCATCACAACCAATATTCTGAAAAGACCAATATTTAATTAACAACATAAAATATTAGAAAAAAGACGCTTGGTCGATGGTTCAGTCTGGCCTAGGTTGAGATAATAGGCTAACTTCGGATTTTTCAACCCGGTTTCCCGCTGTTAAAGATGCAGGTTGGACGGTCTGACATGAAAAAAAGCGTCTTGTCGATCGGATGGGACAATAAACCTAGGTCCCCTGTGCTTCAGGATGCGCAAGTTAATAATCCTTCGACAATTAGAAATCGAAAAAAGAATAATTGCCCATTTCTGAGGCTACGATACGATTGGTCAAACAGATGGCGAAGCAGTTCCTTTAAAGTGTTATTTACACACAATAACCTTTGTACCCACCTTTTTATAACAACTACAACCTGCGTTTATGTTAGGTTTCACAATACAGCCCGTTCCGTCTTGATACAACTTGCAAGAATTATCCGCTGGACAGAATAACAATCTCCTACACTCTGCTTCTTCAATGCAAGTCATCGCACAAAATAATAACTGCGGCTTTATTACAGTTCTAATAGGTTGAGATTCATCGCAGCTGTTCACTGTAATATTCGTCTTAGAGAAGTTTCCAAATCTTAAACTTAAGATACATTTAAAAAGTAGATACACAATTTCAAGTTGAAAAAACATTGTTGCTCTACAGAGAAAGGATCCTAAATGGCAAAAAAAATCTTAACCTTAAAGAACCTAAAGAATTTATAACTTTTTCTATCAATAATCAGTATTGATAACACAATAAATCCACCGTTGCTATTGTTGTGATCAGATTTAAAAGTACTTATATAGCTATCAACAATTGATTTATTTTCAAAAAGGCAATCCCATTAATCAAAATCTCGTCCAAAAGATGGCAAAATCGAAGGTAAAAGTTGTGTAGTAGTCGACTCCTCCTAAATTGAACATTATATTATTTGTAATATATTATGTAATTCAGTTTTCGTCTCCAAAGAAAAATATTAAATGATCACAATATTGATTCTGAAAATACTCAAATTATGCAATGCTTATACATAGTAAAGAAATATAACGCACATAATGCAATCGATTCAGAGAGTTAATAAAATAATATCCAAAGAATTGGAAAAGTAAATTACTAGGATATTTAATATCGTTGGAAATATTCCCAAGAGTATTCCAAAGATTCTGTCCAATTTAGAAATATCTTTTGAAAATCTTCTATAGAAGAAAGTTTGAAAGGGAATATTTTTATAACTTCTCCAAACTTTTAAATTAATTGTTAAGTTATTGTATACGTGTGCAATCTGGATAAAGTTAGATGACAAATATCGACAAATTTGTTCTGTAGAACCCACTCACTGAAAACATGCAGATCTGGCTATTTCCTACATATAGGATCTTAAACGAGTGCTTATATTATGGAATTTATTATATGAGCTGCTAGATTTGCTATTACTCGTGCTTTGGCGATCAATAATCGCATATTTTACTTAAATTCCTTGAATTTTGTCTAAACAGGACCTACTTTTTGAGCCTTTTTACACCTTTCTATAAAAATATAAAAAGATCTTGGTGATTACTAAATTGAGTAGTTATCTTCAAAGAATGCCATATTGTTCTGTTTACATGGTGCATGAATACAATGGCCTAATTTGCATAGCTATTAACCTGTGCTACGAGTTCACGTCATTTTCACGAACCTGTCGTATGTAGCAGAAAACAGAAAGGTTGTGTGATAATGTGTGATTTATCTATCGGTTGCGAAGGTGGTAACTCACAGTAGCGAAACATCAATGTCTGCAGTTCAGTCGGAAAGGAATGAATTGGCCATATTGGATCCACAAAACTGAAAAAAATTTTATATTAAATTTTTATTCAAAATAAATGAATTTTTACAAGGTGACACAAAGGGCAAAAGTGAATTATGCAAAAACTGTACAAAATGCTATTATAATTTAACGTAGTTTCCACGTTCCTCTCAATTACATATAGACTGTGGAAACACTAAAGCGAAATAGACATTGAATAAAGTTATGAAATATATACAATGATCATTAAATAGTACAATAGTCACGAAGTTTTCATATCTTGGTCCTTCTAAAATATTGGTCAAAGACACTTTTAGCTTATATTTGCACAATTTCGTCCGATGTTTTTTTTTCAATTCCATAAAGGCTTGACCAGATTATGACGTCACAATTACGAGTACCATTTCATTAAATCGAATAGTAGCTGGTCAAGTTTATATTTCCTGATGTTTCCTTATGAATAATATTAATCTGTGAGATTGAAGGAGAAATCGGAATGGTGTCCCCGATACAGATACAATCGCTAACATCATTCATATCAGTTTCAAAGATGTACGATTAATCGAGAGTTGTCCTCTAGTCTGTTGTGGGCATGCTCTCGTTCGCGTCATATGATCTAGTTTCTTTTCATTACCCATATAATGAGAGAATCAGACACCATCGGCGATTGGTGTTAATTGTGCCTTAGAATATGGCTTTAAGGAAACACCCAAGATAGCTTGATGTCAGCAACAATCAAATCTCAGAAAAATTTGTAAAAGTGATTGTAAAGAGGTTTTTTTTTTTGAAAAAACAAATATGTGTATCTGGGACACTGATAGCATCAATCGCACCATTCCAATATTTAATAAGATGTCTGTGGTTCCTGAAATTCCATTCAAACTAAGTGTTTGATGACTACTCTAATCATGAAGGGTCTTATGTGATAAAGCAAATAATTTATCACGATTAGTGACATCATGAAACATTTAATTTTTGTAGAATTGCAGGAACCACAGACGTCAGATTGAAAATTGAAATGAAGCAAATTGATGCTATCAGTATCCCCGATACACATGAAAAAATTAGAAAACCTCTCCGTAATCATTTTAAATAAAGAACATTAATTAGCCTTCAAGTTATATTCCCACCTAAATGACCGGTAAACACTCTCGGGTGCATCTTTTACCAAATTTGTCGCCTTATACTTTCAGATGTCAATCTTACAATGACTTCTTACTTAAATTCAATTTTCCAATCGAGCTACAGCAATATATGAATGGTTTTCAACCTATGTGAAGTGTTTTACTAATACTGTTAAACTAATGCTAAAAGGGATTCAGTAGACCAAATATGGGAAATTGTCTCGTATTTTACAAATGTTTATCATTAAATACCACTGATACTATAGATGATTCCTGTTAATGGTTCCAGTGCCATACTGTTAACACAACAATAAATAAACTTGTAGTAGAATGTAAACCTGAAAAAAAAAATGCATTTTCAACATTATTTCAACTAGAATTGCAAATAGTTTTTAAATAAATCGTAATTAACTTGTGACGTAGTGCTATTCACGTGACCACACCTGCCTTAATGCATAAAGGCAGTACAAAAGTCAATGGAAGACCGAAACTCAATTCTCAATTGCCACCAATACCAAACCATCCAAATGATCCAGATCCTACTACCAACCACCATGACTACCAAAAAGGGGGGGGGGGGGGGCAGAGAGGTTATCCTCGGTTATGGCCCGAGGCATGTTTTTCGGGCAAAAATCTCATAACTAGGTTAGAAATTCGGGTAATCTCAGGTATTTGGCCCCCTCGCAGTTAAACCTGGCCCCGCCACTGCTGCCATATCTGCTACGGGCTGTTAACGTTAAAGATAACCCGACAATTGAAAGTCAGAAAAGAGGCAATTGCCACTGTCTTGACATTATTCCCTTTAATACACACTGCATGGCGTTACCTGTCTTCATCAACTCAATTAGATGCAGAGGAAGAGGACGTTAAACTCCATTCATTTCATTTTGCGATATCGGCTTCTACTGGAAGGGAGCGTTAGAGAGTCAAACATGTATACCAATCAAATATCATGGTATATAGAGGGCCAAAGCGAAGTAGGCTCGTAGTCTACCCACAAAATCTGAGGATCTATACGTACCAGAGGCTCCCCCTCCAACAGATTGTTTACCAGTGTTATGTTGTTTACCATCAGATAATATATTACTACATTTATTCTGCATCATATCCATAAAATCTCTTCTATCAGCAGTAGCTTCGTCAAAATACTGACGTAAAGACGGGCAGCGATGGTATCCTGCATTGTCTAGGCATCTTAATCCCGTTTCATAAGCTCTGTAAAATGTATTGTCATGTCAAATATTGATGGTTTCTTTTAATACTCAAAGTTTGAGAGATCGATATCGATTTAAAGTAGATGTATACACTGATTTATTGAGTGTATTTTGTAATTGTTATAATTATAATAGTCTAATTGCATAGTAAATGTTGTGTTGAGAAAAATAAATATCGGATGGTTTAAAAAAAAATCATAACCAAATAAAGTTCCTAAAATAAGGATTACTCTCTCTACTAAAATCAATGGAATAACCATTCTTCATTTCACAATATCAGTCAATAATATTAGAAGACCATTCTTTGTCAATATTCATGTTTTTTTTTTATATAAACCTGAAACACACGCCCTCTATAACACTGGCGGCAGACAGCATTGAAGCTAATTCCTTTTTGAAACCTATTTCAGAATATTATATTTACATGAAAGAAAATAAGAATCGTCGAAAGACCGCTTACTTGCACTGTTTAGTTGATACTGGTGATTTATTTAATGAAGCTGGCCAAGATAAAGCCAAGACTCGAACACAATGTTTTATTCTTGCTTCACCGGTCTCTCCACATTCTTCTCGACTACCTGTAAAAAGATCATCTTGTGATACCAAGAGTAATACCAATAACGTCATGTTAATCACCAGCTGAAGGATAGGATACATAGGCTAGGATACATAGGCTAGGATACATAGGCGCATTAGACTGAAAAGTGATTTGGGTATCTTATTTATTCCATCTACTATTTCCAAAAATCGCACAATTTAAACTAACCTTTTGCTCTCCTAGAATATGAACTGATATCTGGCAAATTAAAACCGGAACCTCTTGATATAATCACAAAAGACTACTTAGTATGGAAATAGAGTGATTATTCTGAAAAATTCTTACCTGGCAGCGTATCGAATGTTTTATTACACTGTTGTTCATATAAACCAAAAATATGTTGTGGATATAAAACTTCCATTAAGGCTTCAAACATTGGGCATGTTACTGGTGCACTTGAAGCATGTAAACACTGTTTAAAATTGTTGTATGCCCTGAAAAATAATTATTCCTGTAAAGCAACCTGTAATGCTACAATAATAAAGAAAAAAACAGATATGGAAGTTCCGGTTATTAAAAGGATAGTAAAGAATTTTTCTAGATTTTGTTTGTGTATCGGGAACACTGATAGCATCAGCACCATTTTCAATCACATTGACTGTGATTCCGATACACATAGAAATTTTTAGAAAACCTCTTTACAATCGCTTTAATATTAATAAATATCCTTCTACCAAAGCTGAAACTTAATGTTGATACTACCCTTTCATCATATTGAAATCAAATAGTTAAGGTGGATTTACACAGGCAACCGTCTTCTTTCAGTTTCAGCCTCTTTTGTTTTCCACCAAAATAACTTTCAATTTGTTTTCACCTTCTTGAAATTGGTTGAAGGAGACTTCCCTGTCTAAACGCAACAGTGTTAAAAGAAGTTGTGGATTCAAAAGGTTGCCAGCAAACACCCACCTAATGCTGCCAAAGCGTTTCAATGTGCATATCAACATAATATCGAGATTCTGATACTGATTTTTGTCCGAATATTATACACATTATACCGTTCTTCGTTCTTCGTTCTTCGCTTAATATCTTTGTCTTGAACGCTCCATGGTCATACTTACTGACAAGCCATTTCTAGATCTTCTGGTAAGTTCATTACGTGTATTTTACAGTTTTCTAAAACACCCATAGCTTCATCAAAGTTGTTACAACCTAAATATTTAAAATGGTGGGCCGTTATTGAGTGTTAACCTTCTGGTAATCCTTCAATTTTTTCAAAATGTGATATTTGGACACGATTTAGTTTTAAACAGTTATATCAGTTATATTGTTCACAATATGAAGATTGGACAAGAAGTAATATCTAGGAGGATAGGATGCGTAGCCTCATCACCATATGCCATTAGCCCGTACAAACCCTGCTGTCTGGTTGCAATCTGATTGATATCTTTAATTTAACGATGGCCTCTGGAACTGTGCATAGTTTAATTTGAGGTTCCTTCGATGTATGACTAATTCAGTTCAAAAGAATAGAGGTACTGGATCGTGCTACCCAAAGTGAAACGCCCCGATTACATGAAAATCTTACATGTAGCTATTTTTCTGATTATATTAAGTCTTCATGGACTTTGTTCAAAAACTGTTGTCCTCTAGCCTCTGATAGTTATCACAAGACCAACAAAAGTTGTTGATTATGAGACGAAAAAAAAAAAGAAAAATTACCTGCTGTACATATTGAATTAGCTGTAGCATCAACACCCTGTGGTAGAAGATCATAAAATAATCTACCGAACATTGGACATTCTTCAGTTATTGATTGGGCACACAGTAAACTTTCGTTTAACGATCTGTAATCACAGTAAACAGTGTCATTCAAATAACAAAAACCTTAAAGCAATCAGAGTACAACCCGTGACAATGGTTAAAAAGCATTTACTGGCGCGACGCACTGTCTGTTTTAGGCGGCTAGGGCATTTTTTTTTAATTCAGTTAAGGTAACATCATGCCAAGTTCGAAATTATTCAGAATTTTCCTAAATTTAAAATAAGTGACACTATCAAGACAGTAGTTGATAACGTAAAAGTGTTACGTATAATGTCTTAAATCAAAATCAAAATAAAAATCAAAACGAGATATTAGGGGTTTTCACCCTTTATCTTTCTAGTGTCCCTTACGGGATCCTTAATAGATTGCCTTAGACTCACTCCCTATAAATCCTTCGAGAATCTTTTTCACGATAGAATTTTATGCTAGACTACATAGGGCCTTATCACCCCCAAAACATATCATAATTATCCCTAAGGAATAATTACCCCAGGTTGAAACCCCTGTGATAGAGGTTGCCCGAATTCATTTATCATTCATGAGTTTCGTGCGTGTGTTCATATTTACAAAACAAAGCGTAAAAATGACTACGTACAAGCGTGATAATTGGACGGTTTGTAAATTACGGTGCATTATGAATTTGACGAGATATATCTGCTAGAGGGAAACACGGTAGAACTATGTAATAGTTTTGAAGAGACGAAGATTAAGACAGTTTTTATCCGTTATGGATTAGGTTTTGATGACTCATTAAAAATCATGAATACTTACGTGCAAAAGATATTGAAAGCATTTTCATACAGAGAATCAAATCTAATCATACTGGTACATTGGGTTATATTAATAGTTCTTTCTAAAAACTGTGGACAGGCTGAAATAAAAGTTATATTTAGTAAGATGGTCTATATAACAACATAGCTATATTCCAGTAAGGGCATTAACGTTGTCTCTTTAACACCTGTATGTCTTTTGATTTCTGTTTTTCCTTTTGATTGCAGTTGTTATTTTTCTTATTGCTCCGGTTACTTTTGATTGCTCTTTTTTATTTTTGATTGCTCTTGTTATTTTTGATTGCTGTTGCTCTTGTTAAGTTTGATTGCTCCTGTTATTTTTGATTTGCTGGTGTTTTTTTTTTTTTGATTACACTTGTTACTTTTGATTGTTCTTGTTACTAACCAGTTATTGATCATATTGTTAGGCTTTTCTTTTAACTTATTATCATAAAAGCATAATCCTGGTCCAATATTTCTACGAAGGACCTCATTGTCTATTGTATTGGTTGGGGTTAAAAAGGTACCGTGATTTATAACTTTGTCAACACTTTTTGCCGATTTAGGAGAGTCCACATAGCTAATTTTGTTTGATATAAGTATATAAATTTGTTATTGATCAGATGATGTTAAAGTATTAAAAAAAATTGTTTAATTTTAATGTATGGGCGTATTCTAGTATATATTTATTCAATACAAACTAAATGGCGGGTGTTTGACGTCACAATATTTCAAATGTTGACTAAAAGCTTTATGTATATGGCATACCACCCCAAATTTCTACAATATTACCAATATATGACAATAGTTAGGTTTGTTCACAGATCAACAATCAATATCACTGAATTTAGAATATTTGGTAATCCGAAAACTTCCTAATTTGACACGAATCTTCTTTGGCTTAATCTTTGACATTTGATGTTTCCTTTATCAATGGTGTACGACGTTCAAAACATCTAACCGTTGCTTTCACAACTCAATATTCTAGTCATTAATTTTGAATAACAAGACGCAAGTATCAACTTTACTTTCTGATTATTGAATCTCAAAGTGCAAAGTTTGCCAAACGGCAAACTACTATAATGCTCTGTAAAGGAAGGTTATTAGTTTCTAATGACGAGAATATGGTGCTGTGAAAGCAACGGTTAGATGTAATAAACGTCGGACACCATTGCTAAAAAACATGGATCTTTGGGAGATAAGTGAAAAACGTCTAAAGAACGCATTGATGAAAAACAAAGAAATGTCGTCTGTTCATTATATACTGAATAGTCAATCTGAAATTACTGTTCGAGCAGAAAAACTAATGTTAAAAGGAATATTGTCGTATAAATATATTGAAGACAGAAACTTTCGGACCAGAATGAATAATGTTACCTACTTCCATCACAAAGTTTATAAATATCTTGCATGACTTTTTCCCAATTTTTCATCGTCTCTGTTGGCTGTGAATCAATATTTGATTGACATCCTACTGTAGCATCAATATAACATTGGGTCAAGTTATTGCCCTTGATCGTATTTCTGAAATAAAAAAAAAGTTGGAAGGAACAATGTAGCATTATGAAATAATAAACCAAGTACTAACGATCCGAACCACAAAACGAAACCCGCATAACGGAATGATACATTCATTTCGTAGATTTGAAAGCTACGCAAGAACTATTGACCCTGCAATCGAATTTGATTTAATATATTCTGAATTGTACAAGTAACAAACAGTTTTAAAAATTGCACAATTTTGATGGATATACTACTAATATAGATCATATAGAATTTTGGAAATCTCAAAATGTAAAAAAAAACAGTATGTATTTCTGGTTTAAGATTTCGCATTCATGCCACATAATCGGAATCGGAATCACTTAATTGAACTCCATGGATAAAAATCTATATTCTGTTATGTAAGCAATACCGTAAGCATCTACCAACTTCCGGTTTGGTCATGGTTGCCATATACCAACGAGTTCAGAGCGGTCGTTGATATAGATATTTCTCAAAGGATTTAGATTTCACTGTCATGGGGTCTTTATAATTATACTCGTAAATCACACTTCACAGGAATTTAATCAGAATTAATGTAATTATTCAATACGTAATCATATTATATCATTGTTGTTAAATCGGATCATCAGATGAGACGAACAAGGAAGTTTTATTCTGGATAAAATAAATCATTAAGACACGCGAATAATCCAAAGGATAATAGAGAAAAAGTTGTGCGATTATCTGCTTATATAATGTGTACTTAGGAATAACTTAAAGTTGCAGTATGTAAAATTTTCATCATCAAACACGTCGTAAATCATACCTGAAATTAAAACTCTAGATTGTGCTACATTTATGTAACTACTGAATTTGTTTTAAAATAGTTAAATATAAACGGAGAATACTAATTGTTAATTAAGCAGTTTGACCTAGTTTAGGTGTAAGAATGGCTCGATAGCCTATAAGTAGTCGAATTAGGCGTTTAATTTACTTAAATCCGTACAGTGGTTTTCAAACAGCTTCCAAAGAGCATAACAAACTTTAAAAGTATACTTAAAGTTTCAGAGACGTCAAGGGGCACTTGCCTTTAGATCTTGGTGTATAGTTTTAACAAATTCGAGCAAAAAAAAATTCGACCTACAGAAAAAGCGGAACGCCCCTTTAAGTGATGTTTATCTGACATGACGCAAAAGAAAAAAGAACACCAATGACTTGATCGCTTCCTGATCACGATGCTAATCTTTTGTATCACATTCTTAAGCTTCTTTTAATTCGTCTTAAACTTTATCTTCTTCAAACACGCATTTGTTTTTGTTCACAAAATAGTTTGGAAAAGCTCGTGTTTTGTTTTGTGCTAATGGACTTCATGTGTAGGCCTACAGGTCAAAATAGTAGGCCTACTTGTGGGTTTTCATCTTGATACCTCATTAAACAGGTCGTTGGAAAGGATCCCTTTGTTCAGATGATACTACAACTATTTTTGTGCACGTTAAAGATCCTTGGACACTGAAAATTCGCAATAAAGAGTAAACCAATGTTGCTGTTATTGTTCTGGCATAACTTCCCTTGTTGTACACCACATTGCGCTGTTGGTCTTCACTAGTTCAACCCAGAGGAGAATAACAGGACATTATATCAAAAGTTTAAAAAGTTCAAAATAAATTGTATCAAAGATACTTACAGACAAAGGTTTTCCATCGATTCCTTTCCTTCTGGTGCAGAAGCTGTTTCTAAAACGCTGTTGAGCGTGGATTCCATCTGACTCACACACCAGTTAGCGTGGGTCATGTTACATGGTTGTGTTTGAGCTGGTGCTGTCTGGTCAACACATAACACCACTTGAACTGTCAACAGAAGAAATAAGATTCCATTCATTCCAAAGTCGGTATACATTGTTAAAACGTAGTTTCTTTAAGCTTAAAAATGAACGTGCTCAGATATTCAGCTTGAGAAGTCCTACAGATAAACAATAATCTTAAGCTCACTAAAGTCTAAAATTCATATGTAGGATATGAAATTGTATTTCACCCAAACTATAAACACGAAATTGTATAGTCTCGAATATAAACACGAAAAACTATTCAAACATACGAAAAATATATAAACACAAAGTCTTATAAATCATGAACACGAAATTGCTTTTGAACCAAAGATATACACACGAAAAAATGTTCAAGCACGTAAAATATAAACACAAAATAGTATTCAAACACAAGATATAAACACAAAATTGTATTAAAGGTATTTAAAACACAAAAAGGATCAGCTGAATATAAACACAAAAGTGTTCACTTGCTGATAAGCACAACACAAAAAGTGACCTCCGTAAATTCTGTTCCTGGCTTCTATGAAACTCGGTCTATTGATGACACTGAGTCCAAAATAAACTAAAAATATCTAACACTACTCCTGTATTTATCAACAAACGTGATTCTATGTTTATTTCAGTTTTTTAAAGGATTAAGTATTTTTGTGCGGTAAAACAATGACTTTTCCACACATTGATACATTTTTCAGAATTTTGAGCTTCAGCAAGCGAATAAATTTGATGTTGATGACCTCTCAGGCGTTAAAAATTGTTTTGATAATTCGGTCATAGTTGTCGTCATCGTCATCAATCATAGTAATCTATGCATACGATTATTACGGCAATGAAATGTTTTATCCATGTTATCCACGATAAAGATAATCGAACTAGACCTTGTTTATGGTTATTCATGATAAAGATCATCTTAGAACTAGACGATTTTTACTAGAACAGGATCATAGTTAGTTACCACCAGAAAGATTGTCGCAATAAACCAAGGTCATTGTTATCCTGATAAGAATTGTCGTAATAAACCTGGGTTATTGTTATCCATGATAAGAATTGTCCTAATAAACCTGTGTCATTGATATCCATGATAAAGATTGTCGTAATAAACCTGGGTTATTGTTATCCATGATAAATATTGTCGTAATAAACCTGGCTTATTGTTATCCATGATAAATATTGTCGTAAACCAGGGTTATTTTTTATCCATATGATAAAGATTGTCGTAATAAACCTGGGTTATTGTTAGCCATGATAAATATTGTCGTAATAAACCTGGGTTATTGTTATCCATGATAAATATTGTCGTAATAAACCTGGGTTATTGTTATCCATGATAAATATTGTCGTAATAAACCTGGGTTATTGTTATCCATTATCAAGATTGTCGTAATAAACCTGTGTTATTGTTATCCGTTATAAAGATTGTCGTAATAAATCTAGGTCATTGTTATCCTGATAAGAATTGTCCTAATAAACCTGAGTCATTGTTATCCATGATAAAGATTGTCGTAATAAACCTGGGTTATTGTTATCCATGATAAAGATTGTCGTAATAAACCTGGGTTATTGTTATCCATGATAAAGATTGTCGTAATAAACCTGGGTCATGTTTATCTATAATATAATAATCGTATGCATAGATTGTCGAAATAAATCTATGCCAATGTTATTCATGATAAAGATAAGATAAAAGAACAAGGTCATTGTTATTCATGATAAAAATTATCGTACCAGAACTAGGTCATTGTTATCAATGATTAAGATTATTGTAAAAGAACTACGTAATTCTTATCCACGATAAAGATTATTGTAATGATGAACCATGTCATTGTTATATATGATAAAGATTATCGTAATGATGAACCGTGCCATTGTTATGTATGATATAATAATAAGATTATCGTAATAAGACGTATAATTGTTATCCACGATAAAGATTATCGTAAGTACGTCATTGCTATCTTTGATAAAGATTATTATAAGACCGTGTCATTATTATCCATGATAAAGATTAACGTAATAAGACTGTGTCATTGTCATTTATCCACAATAAAACTTTTCATAATTATGTCATTGTTATCTATGATTATCGTAATATGATACTGTCATTTGTAACGTATAAATATTAAGATACTGTACAGATATTGAGTTAGTTAATTGTTATATGAAATGAAACTCGTTAGGCGGTTTTGTAGTGTAAGAATAAACAGTATTGTGCCAGGTTTGTTCAAGGTTTTCTCAAACTCAGTCACAATCACAAAAACGACACGCGTTCACATCGATTACAGTGAGAAATAAAAACTATATAATGCAATCTTTTGAGAAAAAAATTCATTTCTGGCGAGTGACATTTAAGGAAAGTAAAGAATTGACAATGCATATTTACTGAGAGATAAAAGATTGTTGGTATTTGAAAATAAAAGTAGTAAAGCTCAGTTTGTTGACATTTAGATTACCTGTAATTATGATTCAGGTGTTAAAACATCGAGTCAAACTTTAGAGACTTGACATCTAGACATGATTGTGGTAATTTGTGTTTCTGTTTGAAGTCAAATATAAAACAGCGAAAAACTGGGTTTTACATACGCCATATCTCCTGGTTTTGAAGCACATTTTGTATGGAAAACGGGTTTAGTTCTTAAAATGAATCAAAATTAGATTTTGATACGAATTACTTCCTTTGATTTCTAAATTGCTTTTGTTGACACATCTTGGCTGATTTGTTTGGTCAGGCATACATTGGTCTGATTGTATATTATTATGTTGACCTATATAGTAGTGGTGGGTGTCGCGAACGAAGCAGACCATGCTTACTCTTTTCGAAACACCTGATGGTACTTCTCTATGGAGTATTCCACTAAATAATACTTTACTCTCAATTTTGTCATACTTTGAATGAGATTTTGATTAACAGACTAGTCTTGCTTGTAAGGATTTTAAGGATCGACAACTAGACAATTTATATTTGTAGAGTTGCACAGTTTTCACTTTTATTCTGTTAATTATCTTAAATATTGGAAATGTTGCTACTGGTTCCCCGTCTTCATTAGCTCAATATGAAATACATTGCTTCAGAAATATGCTTAAAAGTCTCAGGTGGCGAAAATAAAGAAAACAATTAAATAAGTTGTGCCTGTATCATTTGTACTAAAGGATTTGTAAAAGTTAAAAATTGACCGAAGTCTGTAAATTAAAGCTGTAGAGATCAACAGTGAAATACCAAAGTCAACACAGATGGTTTAAAACTAAAGCAAGTCACCTTACAAGTTACATTCCAACAGTGAGTGAGCAAAAGTTAATTGGCTAGACTAAGAATAAATACGAGATCTCTAGCACACTTTGTTCAGACTACACACTACTAAAGAAGAAAAAAGGAGTCTCATCCGATTAAAATATTAATAAAGTTGTTTTTTATTAGTGCTTCATTCGTCAGCATTAATATAAGGACAGTATTCAAGTGACCCAATGAGTCACAATGAGTTGTGACAAGCAAAAACACTATTCAAAGTGGGTTTTATTAAACTATGAATATTCAAAAATTTAACATCGGTAAATATTTTAGTTCTATAATATGACATTAATCATTCTTCAGTTCATCGATGGTGATTGAAGTCATCTTTGGCAAAAACTAACAACAAAATTTCGACTCCTGGCTAAATTTGTAAACCGCTTTGACCACAATTTGTGTTCCCAATCCCAATGACACATGACCGGTTTGGTTTTAACCTAAAACATCCACCTTTATTACATACTCCTGAACTTGGATTCGTAAATGTCGAATCAGTTGTTCAGACGGGTCGTATTCAAGGTCAACCAAGATCACCAACGGTACAACCGTGCCAAGACAAATTATCCGAGGTAAATATTGTATCTATTACATATTGTCATAACCCGAAATATCATCGTAGAATGACTGATATGAAGAATAATATCAATATTGAGTTTCGTGTCGTCTGAATGAATTGTAAAATAACCAGTTTGTTTATGTTATCTGGAAATCGGCTGGTGTATATTTTGACGAAAATTGAAAAGAGCTGCTGAAATACGTTTCTTTCGATTTTTTTTACCTGATACAAAATGTAGGTTATATGCATTTAAGAGGCATGCAATCTGAAATACATCTAAACCGGAAGTACCAATACATATTTTGTGAACGCTTTCAGAAGGTAAGATTAAACCTTCGGAATGTCAATTATTAGATGGGTAAGGTAGAAGTCTATTAACGTATTTGTAACGCATTTGAGTGCTACTGTAATTCAAATCCATCGGTTAAAATTTGGTCAACTTGAGTCACCGTATCCGCAAATTCTTATGATATCCACTTGTAAAAACACCGCATCTTCCTAAGGAGATAAAAATGTCATATAGGTATGCAATACTTTCATATCTAAATATATGAGATATTTGTCAATGTTTAGTTAGATTTTAATGTTTTTTCAGATACCAAGTGTTATTTGGTATAATGTATGCGAAATATGTTTATGATGTTGTCGAGAACGAAATAATGATGATAAAATAAACATAATACGAACTTCCCTAGCATTGAACGCGGTGGTTCAACATTATATTCTTTTAGTGACAATAATTTAAGTTTTGTGGATGCCTGGTGGTTATAGACATATCTATATTTTTCATTTACAAAATTTGCGGACTAGATTTAGAGAATTCTGCTTTTCAAATCATCATCCAGAATTTAGATCCTACGTCCGATGACGTCATTATATCTTCTATATCATGACAATATCTAACCTGTACATTCTGTAGGGACGCAATCATGGAAAAAAAATTTTGAACTTAATCTTGGAATTCTTAACTCTATTTTGAAAGAACTAAATTCCACAGCTAATAAGCAGTAACTTTTAGTAACGTTTTCTGAAAAATAGAAGTTGGCTCTGTCCTAACAATCATAGTAAATGCGGTCACAAAGCAATAAGTCCTTAGCTCTTGTCAAAGAAAATTTTGAAAACAATTT